CAGTTCCTAGAAGTGAATCTGTAATTTTCAAACACCTATAAAACATTTTACTAGAAGAAAAATGGAGTGGTGTTTAAAATAAATATGGACATTTTTTATAAAGAGAAAATGTTGGGGCCAGAAAGTGGTGTGGTAGTGAAGACACTGGACTCCCCTGTGACTAACCATTGTCTGAGTCCCGGACCTGGTGGCTTACTTCTCTCTCTCTCTCTCTCTCATAAGTGTACATGCCTGATAGCAAATTTTAAAATAATAATAATAATTAATAAAATTAAATAATTCAAAAAGGAGGGGAATATTAGCTCTTTATGGAGAATACACAACCTAGGATGTTACACACACATGTGTGTCCACACACACATGCATGCATAAGCATGTCCCCAGCTTAATCCTAGTCACAACCAAAATCAGTTACAAATAGTTACAAATCATTTTCCAATATTATTATATCTGTTCAGAATGCATGATTATTTTATCAGTATAAAGAAGAGGACCCAGGATCAGCAGGTGGCATGGTGGCTAAGGCTCTGGACTTCCACGTGACTGACTGCGGTTTGAGTTCCAGATATGGCCGCTTGGAAATCATGCTGGGCACATGTGCGAGTGTGCCCAAAATCCCAGGAAGAGAATGGAGGAGAGGGGACTGGCCGTCTCCCCCAGAAGGTGATTTCTCACTACTTTCCCTCTCATTGTTACTCTCTCCTGTAAGTGTACGCACACTATGGAAAAAAAAAAAAAGGAAAAGAAACATAAGAGGATCCAGTGAATGAAAGTTTCCAACTCTAGGTTTCCATGAAAACTTGAATCGAAAGGAACTAGGTCAAACTGACCCTTTTTTGTTCAAGTCAGTAAAAAACCTGATGTAATCACGGCAACGATCACAAAAGAAAGAGCACAAACATAAATGGTTTCCCAAGGGAACGTCCACGTGTTCCAGCCTGGTGTGCACCCAACAACTCGAAAGGGGGTCAGCTGGCCTCTCAAAGGGCCCCAACAAAGACTGACCTGCCCTCTGCCAACCTCCCCCACCAAAATATTCCTGAAACTTTAAAAGGAGACAAATACAAAGTTTTAGAGAGCAAAAGCAAGTGAAAGAAATTTAAAACAGAAGTAAAACTTTGAGAACTGTCCCAGACCTAAATTTCTTAGAGAACTCTGACCAGCCACACCCAGGTCTTCAAGAACACAGATCCATAGGGCCCTCTGGCTTCCCTAAGGAAACATGGCTTCCCATCAAAAATTACCCAATGGCACATTACCCACACTCAGGAAGCCAAGAGACAAGGAGCTGGTGTAGAAAGAAAAAAAAAAAGAAGAAGAAGGAGAAATAAAATATCCACTATGGGAAGGGTGTGTTGTTGCCATTTTTGGTAACATTAAATTATCCCCTGTGTGCAGGTGAAAACATACTCTCAGGAAACTCAAGTGGCTTGTGGACAGTTATAATACAGCTCTTAAGGGGATTAGCTAGGAGTATCTGATGGGCACTTCCAATGTTTTTTATTTCATCACACAATTTCTTTCTTTCTCTCTTTTTAAATGAAGATTTTTGCTATGAGGTGTGTGCACTAGCCAGAGAGACAGATAGAAAATGTGGAATCAACCCCAGAGTAATGGCCACGCTGCACTCCCTTCTCCTTCATTCTCCTCTAGGAATTTCAGCATGCATGCACACGTGCCTGGTGAGAGTTTCAAGCCTCTGGGTCCAAGACTTGAAATGGGATGACTACATGGAAGTCTGGCACTGTAACCACTACACCACCTGCTCATCCCACAAAAAAGTATTTGACATAGGTTATAACAGCACACTGTTAAAATTGATATGAGGGCCAGGGGACCAGCAGGTATATGGTGGTTAAGATGCTGGACACTCCCATATGGTCAACCATGGTTTGAGTCCTGAACCATGGTTTTCTAATTTTCTCTCCCTCTCTCTCTGGTCAAATTAAAATAAATGAATGAATAAGTAAAATTTAAAAAAAAAAAAAGGAAAGAAAAGAAACACACCAGGCACATGTGCATGATCCCCCAAATCCCAAAATAATGAAAGAGATGGAGGAGAAGAGATTGTGGCATGACCGTTCCCCATGAGGAGTGCTTTCTCCTCTCCTTCTCTCTTTGTCTCTCTCTGGCAAGTGCACACACCCTCTGGAAATAAATAAATAAATAAATAGATTTTTTTTAAAAAAAGGTAGAATGTCTTAAAATATATCTAGAACACATATTCCTACTTCATTATCTGGAATTTTCAAAGTACAAATATCATTAGAGATTTTATTGTAATTCAATTTAAATACTCGATATTTGTATTACTGAGTATTTTAATATTGACCCAATGGGAAAAGACAGTGCAGAGGTAATACCTATAATTAAATTTTAGTATAAACATGGGATGCTATCCAAAATTTTTCTAGAGACTGTAAACCCAGAGAGTTAGGGCCAAACAAACTTCAGTCACTTACAACACAAGCTGTCAAAGGCATCCAAAGCCTCATTTCCTCCTATTCTGCTACCTGATATATCGAAATGCTACATGGATAATTTACTGCTTCCAAAAACACTAAAGGAGTTTCACTAAATGCAGTAATTGATGAAGTTGTCAGATGTGGCCTACATCGTCTTCTGCTCCTGAGAACACTTTAAGACCATCGACATGGTATTAAGATCTATTATTCTAATGTACAAAGACTGCAACGTGCCTCATCTCCTTGTATAAGGGGTCTTTTAAAGGTTCACAGAAAATGTGGATTATGAAAAAAACTATGCATGGATTCCAAATTCCTTGCAATAAATTAAGCTTGTTCTTCTTTAATACCATTTTCCCACTGGCTTTCTAAAGTCCCTTCGTATTTAAGAACTTCGGTAGTTTTGTAATTAATAACTCATTTCCTAGCAAACTAACCTAGTTAAGATGAACTATTAATTATTATACACACACACACACACGTATACATATATATATACATATATATATATATGTATATATATAAAATGACTTTAGAAAACTCAATTCAAGATGGATGAGACAAAAATAAAAAAGATGTCTTATAGGAAAAAAAAAATGTTAAGTACTCTTCCATTCAAATTTTCTAGGCCCTTTACCCCTGAAAACTGGATAAACTCCATTTGCAATTATTTATTTTGTATAATATTTCCTGAATCAAAATGACATAGCAAATAGGCGCCAGCAGGTGACATGGTGGTTAAGGCACTGGATTCCCACATGGCCAACTCAGTTCAAGTCCCAGAACTACTGGCAGCTTGATTTCTCACTTTCCTTCTCTCTTTTTCTCTCTCTCTCATATGCATGCCCTATAGCAAATATTAAAAATAATAATAATAGTAGGGACCAGCAGTTAGCGTAATGACTATGTCGCTGGACTCCCACGTAGTCGACCACAGTTTGCGTCCCAGACCCAGTGGCTTAAACTCACGCCAGGCGCGTGTGCATGCGTGCCCCCAAGATCCCAAGAGGAGAATAGAGGAGAAGGGATTGTGGTGTGGCTATCCCTCTGGGGGGCGATTTCTCACTTTCTGTCTCTCTGTCTCTCTCTGTTTGTCTGGAGAGCGCACGTGCCCTATAGCAAAAACCTCTCCAAAAATATAATAAAATAATAATAATAATAATAATAGTAATTCTTTTGAAAAATGACATAGCAAATAATCACAAAGAATGTACACTGAGAATGTACCAAATTCCACTGAACTACACATTTTCAAATGCTTCCTTTTGTTTTATCTTTTTTCTTACAGCGATTTTTGCTATAAGGTGCATCCCCCAGGGTGGATGGCCACACTGCAATCCTTTCTTCTCCATTCTCCTCAAGGGACTTTGGGAACACACACATACCAGCGTGAGTTGTTTGTTTTGTTTTCTTGTGTTTTGTTTTAATGTATCTTGTGTTATACTCAGAAAATTTTTTAAGAATTATTTTATTTTATTTATTATTGTTCTTTAGTTTGACCAGGGAGAGACATAGAGAGACAGGACTCAAATTGCAGTCAATCATGTGGAAGTCCAGCACCCTAACCACCATGCCACCTGCCAGCCCCTGGAGACATGTGTTTATGACGCCATGTCTGGAACTTGAACCACAGTCTACTACGTCGGAGTCCAGCAATGTAAACACTATGCCATCTGCTGGTCCTGTGAATTTTATCTTAATAACAACAATAAAATAAAGAAAAAGTCATCAATATATGTCTATATTACCAAGAAAATAAAATATTTATATGCTACAAAAACAATATAACAAAATAAGCAACAAAATTCTGAGGATGTTCAACTAAAACATAACAATAAAAAGTCATCTATTTATAGTTAATATAAGAGATTTGTTTCAAAAGAATATGGAGGAAAAAAATGTGGAGGGGGGAAATTGATGAGAGTATGGCTGACCAAGATTGGCCATGAGTTAATTACTGTTGCAGTGAGGTGATGGGTACAGAGAGCTGATTATATTATACCCTCTACTTTATAATATGTTTAAAACTCCCCATAGCAGACTTAGACCTTTAGAATGGGTCTAATCTTAGAAATAGAAATATAAGTACAGGATAAGAAGTTTAAGGTGAATCAGAAAATCAGCAAAATTTTCATCTTACTTTATTGTTATAAGAACATCTGACTTCCAATTTTATACTTTGTTAACTTATTATTATTTTAGCTTTTGCTATAGGGCCTGTATGCTCGCCAGAGACAGAGAGAGAGGGAAAGCGAGAAATTACCCCAAAGGAGGGGTAGCCACACCACAATCCCTTCTCTATTCTCCTCTCGGGATTTTGGGCATGCATGCACATATGCCCAGTGTGATTCCTAAGCTACCAGGTCCAGGACTCAAACCACGCAGTCAGTCATGTGGGGTCTAGTGCCTTAACCTCCATGTCACCTGCTGGCACCATGAACAAAGAAGCTTAAGTATTCCTTCAATGATTTATTTAAACAGATTTGATACATGGCACAGCTTATGAAGAATAACAATTACAAGATCAATACATACCAGGAGTATCATAGGCCTTTTCCAAGTGGTTAATCCTATGATTCCAGAGAGTATCACCTGTAAGGATAAACAGTGTCAAAAACCTAGAAAATGGGCCAATTCCAGTAAATGAGTCTCCTATCTCAAAAGTATATATATATTTTTAAGATACTGACATTTCAAGCAATCATATCAAACACTTAATATTTCTGCTGATCATATAAACGCTGATAGACACTTCCAAGCCCCCAGCTTTTTTGCTGATTTACATTTGTTGTTAATATCACTGAAGAACACACAAATAGAAATTAGCCTCTGGTCAGTCTGGTCAGTGAAGGAAATGGCATTTCTGACCCAGCTTCTTGCTCCCGATAGCACCCAAGCTGCTGCCAGCGTCATAAGGTGCGCATCTGGCCACATCCCTCCCTTCATCAGGTGGGTGCCCACCTCCCTCCAGACAGGTAAAGGCCTCGATTATCAAGACCTTCAGGATCTTCCTATTCCCATATCTCAAGCTAGTTGCCATGTACCCTGCCCCTCTACCACCCACCTTCCTTCAACCACACCTGCCCTTCCTCTGACAAGAAAGACCCTAGACATTCCTGGGCTATGATGTCTCTCTCTGCTGAAATGCTCTCTTCCCAAATTCCCTACTATCTGCCTAAGAACTCCTTCCCATCCTGCAAGGCCCCAATCAATAATCACCTATTCTGAGAAGCCATCCCTGATCTTAAGACACCACACTCCTGGAAACCTCTGCACATAATGCTTTTTGTTTGTTTGCTTGCTTTTTTTTCCCAAAAGCTCCCTGTTGTATCATTTGAAGGACACATCTCAGTACTCCCCACTAATTGGGAACCCCTATCTTGTCTCTCCAAATGCCTCATTCCAGCACTGCCTGTCACATAGTTGGCAACTAATAAATGTTCCCACACATTTATTCCACAAAGTGGGAGGAACTTCAATGCAAAATAGCTCAAGATGCAAAATGGCACTTCAATAAACAGCAAGCTACAATTCTCGGTAAAGAAGAGCCTATATTTTGCCAAAGCATCAACTGGAAACCAAGGTCAGTCATCTGAAAAACATAGTTCACTAAGAAATTGGGGAAGAATAATCTAAGTATATAATTTTATTCAGCTCAGGGGTGTTCTGATGCTATCTGAGCATGTTTATCTGTGTGTAACAAAGGGTGTTTGGAGGCCAGCAGGTGGTGTAGCGCTTAAGATGCCTGAACTTCCACATGGCCGACCATGGTTCAAGTCCTGGCCCAAACGACTTGAAAATCACACTGAGCATGTGTGCATGCATACCCAAAATCGCAGGAGGAGAATAGAAGAGAAGGGATTGTGATGTGACCATCTCTCCTAGGAGGCAATTGCTCACTTTCTCTTTCTCTGTCTCTCTCCTGCAAGCACACATGCCCTCTAGTAAATTAAAAACAATAATTTAAAATAATAATTATTTTTTAAGTATTTTTTTATTTAACTTTCTCTTTCTTTCTTTCTTTCTTTCTTTCTTTCTTTCTTTCTTTTAATTTGACCAGAAAGGGAGAAAGTGAGAAAGCAAGCCACCAGGTCCGGGACTCAACCCATGGTCAGCCATGTGGGAGTCTGGCGCCCTTAACCACCATGCCACTTGCCAGCCCCAATAATAACTATTTTTGAAAATTAAAATAAACATACTACTTGTTGCCTGCACCAGGCATTCTATTCTTGCAACCCTCTAAATCCAGCAGAATAATATCCTGTCACCCGAAACTGCCTGGAGAAGCTCAGAATACTGGGTCTCATCTTGAGTGTGTGGCCTGCATCTACTTTACACACTGGGACAGGAGTCTATGAGATCCTGGGTGCTAGGCTCCCAATCAGTTCTAAAGAGTTAATCACATGACCTTGAACAAGTCATTTCACTTTTCTGGTCCTCACTCTGGGCTTCTTCTTGCTCTAAAGGTTTACTTCACTGTGATGACAGCAATTCCTCAGAAACCCTGCGATCCAGCGTGCAGGCATATGAGATTGTGTGTGTGCTTGTGTGTACACATGTGTGCATGTGTGTGTGTACATGTGCTTCCTGTCTACCCGCCCTAGACTGTGCTGACGAAATGTAAGCTGTTTTTGTGAAAACATAACTGAAAATTTGACTGCCCTTGAGGGAAATACACACTACCCTCTTCAGTAAAAAGCAAACAGGATTTGAATTAACAGTGTCTGATATTTTTGCCACAAGATCTCCATTAACACAGGCCTCTGTTGTTCAGGTTTTTGGGGCATATTTTTCCATTAAAACATTATCAGATGAGGTATCCAGCTCAGGCCATAAAAGCCCATAAAATAGTGATACAGTTAAGCTACACTTTGTCTCCCCAACCAGCCACACTTGAATGTGTGTGTATATATATATACACATGCACACAGGTGTCATTTTTATTTAAAAAATGAATCATACAATGTAGATTTTGCACCTTTTTCTTTTCTTTCTAAGCAAAGACATCACAGAGATCTCTTCACATTCACAGGACCAGATCTAATTCATTTCAGTTAAACGGCTACATAATTTCCCATTACATGGCAGTCTCTAACGCACTCAATAATTTCCACGTTCATGGACATTCACACTATTTTCAGTTTCCCACCCTCACAAACAACAGGGCTGCTGTAAGCATCCATGAACAAGTATCTTTAAATACAAATGCTTTTTATTCTGTTGCATGAAAATCACAAGTAGGGACACTAAACTGAAAAGTATTTACCTATTTTACTTTAATAGATCATGACAGATACAACTGTCATTTCAAATGAAGGGTCTCTGAGACACAAAAAACTAAACTATCTTTATGTCTTCCTTTGGAGGTGAGCGATAATTTGTTTTCCTATAATAGCAACAAACTACAGGCAACATAATTTTCAAAATATATACAAAATGTATATGACAAATAAGAAATGCCATAATCACAAAATATACATGACAAAGGAAATTCAGACCTCAGTGGGGGAAAAACACAAACCTTACTGAGTAATGAAGACCTAACTAAGTCAAGACATATAAGTTTATGAGTTGGAAAACAAATTTAAAGATGTCATTTTTATTTGAATTGTTTTATAGACTCAGCACACACTGAAGTTGAACCCCAATAGGGTTTTAAAACCATTCTTTTTCATAGAGATGCTTTAGAAAACTATATAATGAGTCTTCAAAAGTCTATGGAAAATGGGTGTTATGAAAACACTCTGCAAGAATTATTTTTAAATGTGATACCAAAGTAAACTGTCCTTTAATTGCATTTTCCACAAACTTTCTGAAGTCTCCTCATATGTTCCAGTTCCAGGTGGCAGTTGTAGTTGTGTCCTCCTTGGTCCTGAAGTCTGCAGCATATGCAATACCAACTTTTATGCAATGCCTCCCTCTCTTCAAGACCAGCAAGGCAAGGCCTTAGCATGCTTGGGGAACCCTGTGAATGACGATGGGAAGAAAAATCAACTAGCAGAAGTAGGGCAGAATGGTTAGAAGCCTCTGGAATGGTGGTGGGAACACAGGTGCTGCTGGGAATGAATCTTTTAAGAGCTCAAGACTTAAGGAGTAGGTGCTCACATTTCATCTGACACAGGGATTGAATTCACAAATGCAGACAGCAGTTAAGAAAGGGCGAAAAGGAGGCAGAATAGTCAATGCTTCCACCCCTTGGTGCAGCAGTAGCTGCAGCACCATCAGAAAGTAGTCAAGGAGATTGCATAACAATGGCTTTCCATGGCTCCACTGCACCACCAGGCTATTACTCATTTAACTATCTCATGAGGGGTTGGACCTGTGAGTACTCACTCATGTACCACTAATGGCTTCCAGAAAGCACTGTGTCTGTTATGGCAAGAGTCAATAAATGAATGAATGAATGAATGGAGGCCAGAAATAGGAGATAAACTTGCTCAAAGATGACAATGTGAGTCTAATCACCTTTTTCAGTCTGGGCTTCCTAACAGCAGCAAAAAAAAAAAGAAAAAGCAACTATATCAGCATTCTTCCCACCCAGCTCAAGACGTGACCTGCTCTGAATGAATAGGCAAGCACCTATATTCTAACACTCAACTCTCTCTCTAATATTACAATGAGATTTATTATAATTTTTGTTTCATTCACTGTAACCTATTCCCTGCAGCTGGTGGGAGAAAGTAGAAGCCATCCTTTTCTCTGATATTGCAAAGAAGGACGCTGAAATACTCCAGGCAAGAGTCATGCTACCCACCACATATGGTTAATGTGCCTTAATTTTCCAGCTTAAAAATCAAATCATTAGGATCAAAAGCTTATAATTCTACTGCCCTATTTTCCTTTGCTAATCCACTAACATGCCTTAGGGCGAAAATGTTCTGGATCATTTGTCAAAACCTACTGTATCTAAACACAGAGATAAAGAAGGCCGTGTTGTAAATGTCCCGGTTACCTTCAAAATAAGCACGAAGTAATTTATCAAACCTGACAACAAGTTCTTTTGCATTTACACTAGCAACTGAAAGAAAAACGTGTGTGTGTGTGTGTGTGTGTGTGTGTGTGAATGTGTGTGTGTTTCCACATTTTTCCTTATCTAGCATGAGTCATTTTAAAAAACGAGGACATAGGCAAAAGGATGTTTCTAATGTGTACTTGATAGTTACCATAATATCCTGAAAAAAAAAAAAACTCCTGTTCACTTTATTAAATATTGCCTTCGTGTTTAAAACAAATTGATAGAGGTTCGAGTATGTGTCAGACCTAGAGAGAGCGTCCTCTAGCAAAGCATCCTCCTGCGTTCTCTAATTGCACCTTCACAAAATCAGTCTGGAGGCCGAAATCACCCCACCCATTTTACAGAGAAGTAACTGAAACTGGAAGGCTCAATGGCTTGCTCAAGGCATGAAACTTATAAATATGACTCTGCTGTCACAGAAATAAAGGACTGAAAAAAAATTAAATAAAATTCATCACCAAAACTATAAGTGTCCCTGAAATATTAAAGTAGTATTTAATGAGTATGATAGAAAAATATGCTTACTATTGTCTAACTGGTACAGACTTCAGAGTTTTTACATCCATTTCTTCCTTAC